GCCTCGCATCCCTGCTTTGAGCTCCCAGGCAGTGTGCAGAGGGTCAGTTTCACCCCTGCTTTTCCACAATAAGCATGCAAGGAAAATGTGCTTCAGTTCATTTGTGACCCAGAGGCTAGCCTTTGCACTTCTGAACTAAACATGGTGTTGGATGTCACTTGTACTTGAAGCCCATTTCTGAACGTGTGCTATACTTTGAGGATGCTTTTAAGTGTGTGACAGATCTGTACAAGCCAATGCTTCATTTGCTGTATTCAGTTCAGTGAGCATGGTTTGCTCCAATTTCCTTAGTGGTTCTACCATAACCATTCAGCTATTTATTTTGCTTTTGGGGGCTCAGTTGCTACAGGGTCACCATGTGTGGCTCACAGGGGTGGCTTGTTGAGGAGATGAAAATGCCCCCTGCCCTCCCAGTGAGCTGGCCCATCCTTGCCACAAGGGAATGCCTCTTGAAACATAGGAGGGGATGCCTCTTCTAGCCTGATACTGGGCTCAAGAGATTAACATATCTTCTAATAATAAAAGAAGTACAATGCTTGGTTTGCATTGCTTATGGTACTTGTATGCAAATGTAATTAACTAATGTATTGGGTAATTGAGTAAAACTCATAGCATTAATCAACAGAGTTATTTAATTAGATGACAGCTCAATTCATATTTATTTATGATTATTATTTCTGCTGTGCTGCTAATGATGCATATGTGCTTTTATGACACAGAATAGTCCTTGAGCTCCATTCCAAAACTGACAATATGCACATTGGAAGACAACCTATACTGAGCTTGTATTGTGGTGGATACTCACTGTCCAAAAGTTGACTGAGTCCAAAGCTGGTCAGACCAAATTTCGGAGACATTTGGGGAGATTGTCCTCCATCATCTGCTTATTAAAGAACCTGACATTGAAGCAAATGCATTTCCACCTATTTTGCCAACTTGTATTTGCACAAATTCACATGTTCACATTTGTGCAAATAAGCTTAAAATGCAGAAATACACACCCCAAGGTGTGTGTGCATTTCGTCTCCTTTTTATATGGGGGGTTTTGTGCATTTTCATAGATGGATGGAATAGGAGCGTGGGAAGGAGCCAAGAAGGCCATCGAGTCCCAACTTCATGCTCAGTGCAGGTCACCAAGTTAAACAAACCCCAGTCAGATGACTGTCCAGTTTCACATTGAATGTCTCGAGTGTGGGAGAGCCCACCACCTCCCTCGGCAGCTGGTTCCACTGTCACATTGCTCTGACACTGAGGACTTTTTTGGCCTGATATCTAGCCTGAATATGACTCGATCCTGGTATTTCATGTCCTTCACTCTGGAATGAACAAGAAGGTGTCTTGTCCTTCCTTTTTTTGATATCCCTTGAGGTACTTTAGGGTGCTATCCTGTCCCCCTTCAGTCTTCTCTTCTTGAGGCTAAACATGCCCAGTTCTGCCGATCTCGCTCATAGGGCTTTGTTTCCAGACCCTTCATTGCCCTCCTCTAGACCCTTTCCAATCTTCATGTAAACATCCACATGCTAAGAATATGGAATTTGAAAATCATCAAGCAAATGCAGGCCATCTCTGTCAAGAGTGTATAATTTACTCAGTATAAGTAAATCTACTGGGCTAAATAGGGATACATATTAGCCATCGCTAATGCAAGCCCCGTTGAGTTGAATGGGCATCTTCTAACTCAGTCTGGATCCAATATAGTGTAATGTGAAGGGTCAAAATCCTCTAGAGTATGGTGGTTTTTCAACTTGAAAAGAAATACGCTATTTCTACTTTTTCCACAGAAGTGACAAATCAAATGGGTGAAATACACACCTAGAAAGATTTTTGGAATACTTGCTTGGGAAGTTATGGTGAAGGGACACTGGAAAGAGCATCTGAGGGCAGGTTTCTTGACTTCAAGCTCTCTAGCTTTTAATCACTAGTGAACAAACCCTGGATACTGTCAGATCTCGGTTATATTTCTCAAGGGTTTAACTGTGCCTGAGGTGGCAATGAAGTAAAGCCTTAGAAATCGTATTTTCAAGGTCACTACAAGAAGAAGAACGAACGTGCAGGGGAAAAATAAAGGAAGAAAAGCAAAGTGTGTAGGGGAAAGGAGAAAGCCAGAGAAAAAGAAAAAGAAAGAAAGCAAAGCATTGATGTCTGCAGCATGGAGAAGGTGCACTGAAATAGATTCCCAGACCCCAATGCTTATTCTGAAAGGAAATCAATGATATTCGGCACCATATCTGTGTGTCTGGGACTCACACCTGCACTTTCTCTTGATACAGTCTACTCAGGGGCCCTGTAATGCTAGAAGCAGGGCCATCCCATGGGGCAGATGGGGCAGGACTGGGACATGGGTGGCAGGCTGGGAGGGGCAGAAAGCTGGGACCAGGGTTCAGGTGTAAGGTAGGGCTCCATAGGTCCACAGAGCCAAAGACTGGCCATCCAAGAGGAGAAACAAGGCAGGTGGCAGACAGGTATAGCCCAAGGGAGAGAGAGAACACAGTCCAGAAACAGTCCAGGGGTTGTACTCTGGGGAGGAGCCACATAAAGGTGGTCAAGGTGGAGGAGGGAGGCCGCAGGGACAGACAAGAGAGGGCTACGGCACGGCAGGGACAAAGTGGAACAAGGTAGGGACTAACCAGAGCGAGGAAGACCAAGCTGGACCAAGCAGTGACAAACGGGAGCAAGGCAGGAGCAAGTTTGGGGCTCCAGCAGGGATGCGGAGAATCAGAGCACACAAGAGGCACAAAGACAACTCGCACTGCTGCCGCAAGAAGCAGTTGTGCAGAGCAGCCGTTTCACTTGTTCCAGGGCCCAGCCACGGGGCATGATCTCTCAGGTGTTCCCTGCAAGCACCTGCACAGGTTTTCCTGGTCCTGCAGGTGCTTGCAGGGTATGCCAGGCCCTGGTCCTGCCAGTGTGAGATTTGGGGCACTGGGGGCAAGAGGGCTGGTTCCATTTTGGGTGATTTGTACTTGAAAATGTACTTCAGTTCCAGAATCAATGGAACAGGTAAACACTTTACCTGTTTAACCAGAATGCAAGAACAGAAGAATGCACAGTGAAACAAACACATAGAACCATAGATGGAGCGAAGGGCAGAGACAAGATCTCATTCCTGCCCATGTGTAGGAAGAAAAGGGCTCTTTGCCTCTCGGATCTTTTAGAACATCTCAGAAATGTCCGTGGAAAGTTTTCCTGCAAAACTCTACAGTTGAAATAGAGTTTCATGAATTTTTTCTGTGCATTAACAAAAGTTATGCAGGAGTTCAAGGGACTGAAATGGAAAGCAAGAGGAGGGACCCCATGCAAAGAACTCCACTGGACCTGGGAAGGAAGGAGTGTTTTTAGGTCTTCAGGTTAATCATCCCCTACTGTTCGTAATTACAACTTGCTCACGGTGTGGGGAGGGGATATCTAGACTCGTGAAGAATATGCCTAATGAGGTGGGTATGGAAAATTCATTAAAGTCTTTTAATTGAGTTTACAAAGTCATTGGTCAAATGAGGATAAAGTTCTTCTTCGGCAACCTTTGGATGATGATTCTTGCAGGACACTTGAACTTTCCATCTCAGGAGAGTCTCCACCGCACATGCGTCCTTGTATGCTCCTTGTTATTTTAAGTTGTTGATGGACAAGAAGCTGAGTGCATACCCTTTGTTGGATTTGGCGATCCTCCTGGTGCAGAGAGAAAGAGAGAGAGAGAGAGGGCTTTCATTGGTGTGTCAGAGCAGGCTAGTGTAGGAAGAGAGTTCTTCTCTTTACTGTTCAGACTGATGCCTCTGATTCTTAGGAGGAGCAAGAACCTCAATGTTTCAAGGTGACCTAGTGAAGTTTCCCAGACAGAGCATAAGAATTGACCTGCTTTGGAAGGGTTGGAAGGGTTTTGGAAGAGGAGGGGAAGCAGATGAAAGACCCAGTCCTTGACTCAGTAATGAGGTAATGGGACAAACAAGCAACTCCATTTGAGGGTCTCCAATTTCCCCATCTTGGTTTCAAGCAGGAAGAGCATCCAAAGAGAGGGACAGAGGAGGAGCCTCCAGTTTAGATTCAGCTCTTTACAAGGAGGGATGCTGCTCCTTCAGTCCCGATCAATGACTATTTATAGTTCATATCATTCTGCAATTGGTTAGGTTTCCATAAAATAATTGTAGTTCAAGAGAATGCCTGAAGTTTGATAGCCAGACAGAAGGAGGGAATAGGCCAGTTCCTGACGACTGGAAACTCCTTGGGTTCCTTTGACATTCCATTCAAAATATCACAGCTGCAATTATTGTATTGTTTCTGCTCTGCATGTTCTGGGAAGGTTCATCTAACTGAGCACCCCAAATGTAGCCTGCAGAAAAAGGACACATTCCACCTTGGGTAATCAACAGCCTTTGCATGCAGGTGTTTCTTCAAGTCTGCAAGGATAGACAATTAGTTGATTGTGCTTTCTCTCACACTTGAATTTCTGAAAACTAAAGTTCCTTCTCTCCCAAAGGCAAATCACTATTCCCTCATGGTGAATCAATCTACTAGAAAGCGAATAGGAATTAGGAGGTTATGAGAAAAGAGGCAAAGAGAGAGTCGGCAAATCTAATTCAGGTTGGATGTATTTGAACACACAGGTGCAAACCCAAACTTCAGCAGCTATGCACTTAAAAGTCAGGACTGGCTAAGCATGTGTGTCAATTCTGTTTCTCCCATATTTGTATATTCCCATTTATCTTGCTAGCTAGCTAGCTAGCTAGCTATCTTTTTGTCCTGGGCATTGCAAATATTCACAAATCTTTATTGAAACAGAAAAGGAATCATCACCCATTGCAATAACTGGTTTAAAATGATAATAAAACTGAGATATGATAATAAAACTTCACCCTTCCCTGAGATGGTCAAGTACAACACCTCTGGATCTCTCTGCCTCTTGAATTGTGAGGGTTAGAATCTAGTTTTAAAACAAACCCATCTTTCCCCTCTACCTGCTTCACAGCTCTTTGCCAAGGATGACCTTTCCTTACTCTTCCTTTCAGGAACGACCGTGATGCGTGTGACTGCTTTTGATGCGGATGACCCAGTTACAGAGAATGCCGTGCTGAGATATAATATCCTCAAGCAGACGCCAGACAAACCCTCTCCGAACATGTTCTACATTGACCCAGAGAAGGGGGACATTGTCACGGTGGTGTCTCCAGCCATGTTGGACCGTGAAGTAAGTCACATGTTTCCTTGTTTCAGTTGCGTATGGATGAAAGCATTATTTATGTGTCACTGCATGGGGGACACAACTGGTTGTTTATTGATACGATCTCCAAACATCTCGTTTGGAGTCCTTTTTAATCTGGCACCAACAGAAAGGGCAGATATGTGCCTCGATAGCAGAACACTGTGCTGTGATGTGGTTTTTGGCTTCCCTGCTGTTGAGAGATCTTCAGATAGCTGTCTGGGTAATCTGCAGCAATATTTATTATTAGCATTTTGTTTTCCCCGCTCCTTATCCAAGAAGGCTCCCAAAGCGGCTTACACACAATCAGTAAAACAACGTGGCCCATGCCTGCGGGCGTCACATCTAAAATGATGCACTGTGTGAAGGAAATGGGGGGGGGAGGGGAGAAGGATGGAGGGGGGACCTTTTTCAGCAGAGCTGGTGAAATGTCCTCACGACACCACTCATCCTCTGTGCCGAAGTAGCTTGGTTGGTGTTCTAGTTTTAACACTAGACGTTCTTCTTGTTGCTCCAAAATCAGAGATTCTGCTTGGTAGAGCACAGAGGAAGGCCTTCTGCAGTTTCCAAACTTTTCTGGTCATGCAGGCTTTCTGAAGACATTCCCCCCTCCCCTCGGAACCAACTTTATCCCTGATTTTTACTAAGCATTGTGAACCCACAGCATTCTTCCTTCTTTCATCTGCTTCTCTTTCCTGAGTGCTTCGCATCAAGTATTAGGTTTGGAAATAAAGGGGAAACATTTTAAATATAATAAGTAAAGCAATTATACCGTGATATTCCAAATAGATTCTTTCAGTTATTCCCAACAGGATGCAATTGAGTCCTAGGAACCAAGTCCTGTGATGCATTTCCGTTTTTGCTGCTTGGTCTCCAACTGGCAATTGAATAGTTGGGCTCAGCTGGTTTCACTTGAAGACCCATTTTATGTTTGATTTTTGAGATTTGTTGCCTGTGAGGCATCTGCGGAAACCTAGGTTTCCGTGGAACAGTTTGGGAATCGCTGCTTCAGGCCATTCTTTCCCCAGGTTGCTTTCAGCATTCCTGACCAGATGTTGGTCATGCATGTGGATGCCCAAAACATCTGGAAGGAAGCAGCTGGGGAACCTCCACCTGAGGGTGTGAGAAACTCTGTCTGGGGGGTCCCCACCTCGCCGTCTCCTCGTCAGGTTTTTGCAGCCTCATGAAACCTTGTTGTTGCTGTTTCCATTCCATCAAGCGTTTGGTCTGGCGAGCTGCTGATGCCTTTTATTTTGCAAAGTTTAAACTGCTACTTCTGCCTGTCCTAAATTCTTTCTAAGTGGTAGTTTGTGTTTCTTTATCTTTTAAGTGTTGAGGGGTGAATGATTGATTGGTGGGTTGGTTTGCTTGATGTGTAAACCATCTTTTTATAGGCTGGAGAGTGGGATGTAAGTTTTCTTAAGAAAGAATGGATATTAGGCCTCACCAAACTCAGCAGCAGAGGCAGGTGGAGAAAAATAATCATGCAGGTCATATGCATTCCTCATGTCACTTACCTCTGACGAGCCACTTGCAACCTAAAATGAGGATTCGTAGGAAACACTAACGTCTTAATCCTGTAAGCTGGGCCTAAAAATAGCAGGAGCTGAGATGCATCACGGAAGTGGGTAGGCATGGGAGGAACATGATCTCCCACAATAACTTACCATGGCTGCTGACGCAAGTGTGTGTTGGGATGGTAGAAACTTCAGTGGATCTTTGTAGGAGAGAGCACACATCATCATCATCATCATCATCATCATCATCATTATTATTATTATTATTATTATTATTATTATTATAACATTTCTATGCCGCCCCTTGCCGAAACCTCGGGGCGGCTTACAACATGATAAAGTACATTGAAATACAATAGTACATAATAAATTACCATTAAATATAAAAATACAAAAAATACATTGATTTACAAATACAAAATTAAAATTACCAGTATAAAATAAAAATATAGGATGAGAAAGAGAAGGAAGAAGAAGTTGCCCAGGCCAGATCATATGTTTTAACAATTGAAATGATGTTTAAATAAAAAGGTCTTTACCTGGCGCTGAAAAACCAGTAACGATGGTGCCAGGCGGACCTCTTTGGGGAGTGAATTCCATAGGTTGGCTGCCCTGGCTGAAGAAGGTCCCAAGTCCAATTCTCCAGGTAGGGCTGGGAAACCCCCTCTCTGAAATCCTTGGAGAGCTGCTGCCAGTCAGTGTGGGCAACACTGGCCCAGATAGACCAAGGTCTGACTCCATACACATCAGTGACCTGTCATCCACTCTCTTCTCACTTCTGAGAAGGCACACCTGGTTTGGGCTGTGTCAAAAGTCTCTGTGCCGTCAACTGCAGAATTTAAGCATGCCGAGAGTTATAAAAGATATGGAAGCACATAAATTAATATTATGATCTTGGAGCCTTAAGCTGAAATCTATTTGTTAGGTACTTTGAAACCAAGATGTTGCTGATACGGAATCTCATAAAATAGGTAAAGGTCTTAGACAGGATAAGCTTTGTAAATTCCCTCTGTTCTTTAGTGGTTTCCTACCTGTCTTGTATGCCTCTCTCTGCCTGTGCATATTTATGCATTCCTTAAGCAGCATTAGAGCTTCACGAGGAGAAAACAAGAGAACTGCCTTTGCGAATCAGAAGGATATGATTTTGATGGGGGTGTTTAATAATTATCCAGTCTATACAGGATATAGGTTGATGTTTAAGGGTGGAGTCCAGTCCATGACAGTTTTACATGCGTTCATTTGAGCTTTGGTCCATGTTAGCTCTTTTATGTCCATTCATAAGTCTGTGGTGAGCCATGTGCAGGGGTCTCCCTCTGACTTCACAAGCATCTCTTCAAGAGTTTTCTCTGCTCCACTTCTGATGAGCACGGTTTTGGTCCTTATCAGCCCCATTTGGAGTCATTCTAGGCATGGCAAAGACATTCATTTGGATCGCAATTTAATCTCAGTTTACCTACTGTCACATTTCGGGGCCAAACTCAGTTATCTCTGAATCAAAAACTGTACATTCAGTAAACTCTACAAAGTTAATATAAGTGAAATTACACTAACATGCACCATATCAGGAAAGCCACCTTCTTAAAAGAATCTTCTCTCTCAAATGTAGTGGCATGAATGCTGCAAGCAAATTTGACAGCAAGATCCTACACATATTTTATGCAAAAGTAAGCTCTGTTGAATCACTGGGGCTCAATCGCAAGCTGTTATGCAATTGGATTGCAAACTAAGTGTAGCAAGCAGGATGGAGATCATTTGCCTGAGTCAAATTTACAAATCTGATTTTTATTTTTATTTTTTTTTTTTTTTTGAGAAAGGATTTAAGAGGGGAAAGTATTGTTCATTCAGCTGGAACTACTCTATTAAGCTCTATTAGACTGGGAAAATTAAGACATCTACAACTGAAAATATGTGCTGGTTTTCCTCAATGTTCGCCTTGAGTAAGTTTATAGACCGATTTCAGATTCTTGGATTCATAATAACTAGCTGCTAAGCTTGACACACCTTTCCCAGTTTTCACAAGTTAGATGGGGCATCCTCCACTCTCTAAGATAAAACCAATTTGTTGAAATTGAAAAATCGATGGCAGTGAATGAACAAACCTACCTTCTCCATTCCATTCTAGAGATGACTGATGATACATAAAATAAAGATGCTCTATTTACATACAAATAAAATCTCCAAAATTGAACAGGAGGTCCCTTCTGACTCACTCTGTTTCTATGTTTCTATGTTTGTTTCACCATTTTTCATGGCTTTCCTCTGATCATGGGCACCAGTGTTAGGGGCAACCTCTGAGGAACCCTGGCACAAATTTCTCCTGAACTAGGTCCACCTTCTGCATGCTGAAAAGGATAACGTGTTTATCCAGGTGCCTTCTATTATTGGCAGGATCTTTTTATTGCCCTTTTATAGTCTTCTGATGTCATTGATGTAATGTTATTCTAACTTAATGTTTATTTTTGTTAATGTTTTTATGTATTGTATTTTACTGTTTTTATCCTTGTAAACCACCGAAACAACTTCAGCTGCAGGCAGTATAGAAATGAATAATAACAATTATTATTATCTCATATCCATATTGATGGTAGCAAGGCACAGTTCTCAGTATCCTGAAAGAATACAGAATATTGATGTTCATGTTGCACAAAGTGTGTTTAGTGTTGCAATCAGCCAAGAATGGCGAAGCTGTGGGGAAAGTCTCTCGGTGTTCATGCGCTGAACGGCTAACACCAGAAGTGCTTTGATGTAGATCTGTGCCGTTTCCCAAAACTGGGTTATTTCATTCACGTTTCAAGCATAAATACAGCCAATGAAAAACACTCCAAACTTAATGTTTTTTCTTTATGCACAATTGTGAACACTCCCCTTCAATGAGCATGTTTTGAGAATCTGTGACAACTCAAGAAACTACCTTAGCTATAAGATAAAATTAGGCTGAGGTAGCTGAGTGAATTGACAGCTTAATCCAAAACTTGTCTACCCACAGTTCAGTGGGGGAGTTTCTGATGTAAGTTGGCATATATTTGCAAAGGAAGTTTTACATTTTGCTCTCCCAGTGTATATGCAGTGGCAGTTGCTGCCATAAACTCTTGGAAAGTAACAGCATTTATTCAGTGATCAAAGCTATTCAGATTTTCCAATTCCTTCTATTACCGTTTCACCAGTGCTTAGATGAAGATGTTTATGGGGAGCTTTAGCACTTTAATTTAGCACTTTAGCTACTTTAGCACTTTAATTTAAGCTAAAGTTACAAGGGTATAATTATCTGTTCAAGTTCTTTCATGTTAGCATGTTGTAATATATGGAACAAGCTTCTGAAAATATGTGCTACTGAGGAAAGGATATTGAAATGTAGATTACAGGTTACCGTGGAGGTTATTTTATTATTATTATTATTATTGTTATTGTTGTTATTATTATTATTATTATTTCCTTTCTAAACAAGCTATAACTGATTGAGATGAACTTTTG